GCCGCAAAAAAGCCCCGATGGCGAAAATGGCGATCGGGGCTTTTTTGCAGAAAACCGCGTCTAGATTGGCCACGGATGCTTTTCCGCAAAAAGTACTTTTGCGGAAAAGCATCCTGCCAATCTAGACGTACTTTTCCGAAAATGCTTTTAACCGAAAAGTTTTCCGTTAAAAGCATTTTCAGAAATCCATGCCAGTCTAGACGTAGCCCTGGGCTTTTTCCTCTTTCCTCTTCCAAAAGAACTCCCTCTTCCCCATCCACACATGCCTTTTTGCAAAAGAGCTTTTCGGAAAAGGGCTTCTTCCTCATAGAAAGAGGTTTACTAATGTTGGAAAAACCCTTCTATTCTTTGGATTTTTTTTTCCAAAGAGCACAACTTTTGAAAGTGTGTTGTAATGCAATGTGGATGTAAGTGAAATGTTTTCAGAAAAGCAGCCATTTTTCCGAAAAAAGTCTGCAGTGTAGACATACCCTGAGAGAGACAGGGCCATCCCTACCTACATCTCCCCTCTATTGGGGTAGGGGCTGTGTTCAAGAGCTGTGGTGGCCAGAGTCGGGGAGCAGTCCCAGGGCTGTGGGGGAGGCAGTAGCAAAGCAGGCAGGTAGCAGGGGCCCCAGCGAGCTCTGCTTACCAGGCTCCTAGAAGAGGGACATGGGGAAAGGGCAGAGCCGCCCCCACATTCACTGGTACCGGGAAGCAGCTGGGAACCAGCAGAGCCATGTGTCCTGGGAAGGGGTCACTCCACTTCTCGCTGCTGCCCATGACTGAGGGGGAAGGTTTCATTTCTGCTGCCCACGCCAGCACTTCTAAGTCCCTAAGCCGTGTCACTTGGGGAAAAGTGGTGAAATGGGGGCAGGAAGGGGTGGGGAAATGGGGCCCAGACGGCAGGGAGCTCAGCATCCCTCAAGGACGGCTCTGCTGGGAGCAGCCTGTAGAGGGGCTGGCAGGGCGGCGGGGCTGGCTGCTGGAGCTGGTGCTGCCACATACATATCACGCAGCTGCCTAGAGCACCATGAAATCAGGGTAATTTGGTGCCGCCTAGGGCTGTGTATCTTGCATATTGGGAGGGTTGGCCCGGGAGAGGCAGAGAGAGTGGGAGAGAGAGATGTAGAACAGAGCTACTCAACACACGCCCATCCCATAGGCCGTATGTGGCCTGTGGCCTGTTTGTTTGAGGCCTGCGGTGCAGTTTGGGTTTACGCAGGGCTCAACATGTGGCCCACAGGTAGGAGCCAAAACAAAAAAGTCATCAACGTCATGGTCTTCTGTTCTATGCATTTTAGGAGTTAACTTCCTGGACTGTCATTGTTCAGTAAAAGTGTTGTCATAGGGGTGGAAATGGAGTAACTGTTGCATTTTATTCATATCAGCAGTACTGACTTAAATGGGGCCTGCGTGTTGTGTAGTCTTTATATTCGTGCCTGTCAGTGTGAAATAAGCTATTTGCATATTTTTGCATTTATATTTGCATGTATATGCAACCACACTTAAGCTGCGGTTCTCGGCATGTGCTAGGATAGGAGTGTCCAACCTGGGGTGCGCGTACCCCTAGGGGGTACGAGAAGCTTGTCAAGGGGGTACAAGGAATATTTGGTAAATAACTAGATTATCCTATTGAAATATTCCAAAAGTAGTAGTGTTAGGATACGTCTAGACTACAGGGTTTTGTCGACAGAAGTTTTGTCGACAGATACTGTTAACAAACCTTCTGTCGACAAAGAGCGTCTAGACTACATCCAGTTCTGTCAACAAAGCAAGCCGCTTTGTCAACATGGCAGTGTAGACGCAAAGGACAGTGTAGATGCAATAATGCCTTCTGTTGACAGAACTCTGTTGACAAAAGACGTTATTCCTCGTAGAATGAGGTTTACCGTTGTCGACAAAACTGCTGAGTTCTTTCGACATTATGTAGACAGAACTCAGCAGCAGTGTAAATACTGGTAGGCTACGTCTAGACTGGCATGATTTTCCAGAAATGCTTTTAACAGAAAAGTTTTCCGTTTAAAGCATTTTCGGAAAAGCGCATCTAGATTGGCAGGACGCTTTTCCGCAAAAGCACTTTT